AGATGAAACGAACTAGTGAAAACATCATAAGGATTATTCTACTTTAAATTTCTGCCAATAGTTCCCTTTAACCTAAATCTTACACACTGGACCTTTAAGTACAGTACACATGTTTTCACCACATTACCATAATTTGTGCACAGTCTATTTAATGCCCTTATTCAATGAATTATGTATTTGTCCATATTTTGTGTTTCTTCCTTGTTTGCATGCACAGGAAGTTTGTTTTCCTGTGTGGTAAGGCTGAGTCTGCTTCTTCGAGTGTCTAGACCCTCTGTCTCCTCTGCTGCCTTCACTTGCTCTCTTGCTCCTCACATTTCAGCCCTTATCCATGTCTCAAGCATCGTCCGATAAGTTCCTCACTCCCCCTATAGTCCCATCACTACCCCACCATCTCCACATCCACAAGACAAACCACTGGGACCAGGTCCAGTGTGACCTCATTGAGATCAGTGAGAAACGGTGTGTGAGCAGCCTCGGCTCCCATCGTGCCCGATGCTACGAGCGCTCAGAGACCCCTGAGTTTGGAGTCTGCAACATTTGATCCATGGGAAACCCTTATGCACAATGACGCCAGTGAACAATGTGGCCCCAGTTCTGTGTGTCCCGGGAGGGCCACTGTAGACTGCAGATCTTATAACCTGTCCTGGATACATCACCCCCCTGGGAGTGGACCACTCCCATCTGAAACAACTGTCCCGCTAGAGGAGGCTGGGTCAGGTACAGTTACACATCCTCAGTCGTGCTGATATGAGGGAATGGCCTGTGTGTATTTGTGTATGAAATACATGTGTGCGTATGAGAGAGGGAAATTTTGCATCTTTTATAGACAGCCTATAGGTTACTAATTTCTTAAAGTTCTTGCAAAAAACATTTTCCTAAAATAATTATGTAACACGATAAGGTTTAACAAAAAATTTAAACAGGAAGTCCACATTTTATATACATTTTCAGCTTGATTTGCTCTACGCCACACTCCACTTTGATCATTTTAGAGCAAATCCCAACAAAACACGTGATACGGTCGTCGATGAATTAACGATTCGTCAGAAAAACATAAACTCATTCCATTCCACATTACTCCTGTTTCTGTTTAACAGAGTTGAAACCAGACTTTCCACTGAAGTATTTGGGGCGGTGTGGTCTACTGGAATCAGATCCCTACGCAAGAGCTGAGAAGTTGTGTGATTTATGGGTGAGAGATCGAAAATGATGCAGTAAAACTTGATGCTAAAAAAAGACAAAGCAACAGGTCATGTGAACTTTTCAATATTTGGAGGTGGGCAGGATCATTTAATTTGATTGATATGGTTGATTGATTTAAACCATAATCACTACATGTCTAACCCTGAACAAAAACAAATGTTAATGTATGAAACAATAAGCATTGTAAGTTTATTTATTTATTTACCTTTGAATCAAAGCCAGCCTATCTGTTTCCCCTTGTTTCCAGTCTTCTGCTAGGCTAAGCTCACGAGCACAGCATGGTGGTACCTTCATATTAATGATACAGACATGAGTGTGTCAATCCTTGCAGCTAACTCTTGGCTAGAAAGCGTAGAATTGTATTTCGCAAAATAAGTCAGAAGAGAAACTGTCCTTGGACGTTGGATGAATGTGAAAGCATGACATTGGTGAGTGCAGCGGGACAGAGATGGAAGGTGAGTCACCATGACGAACAGATTTTCGTCCCCACAATGTGATTAACACAACTGCAAACAAACAATAAACCAATGGCGACAAATTTTCATCCTGTAACCATGGAAATATGTCACATTCACCTGTGCCTCTGTTGTTTCTGTGTGTTTTATGGCAGGATTCCTGATTTTTTTTCTCAGTTTCTTCAATTTACAAGTTCCTGTCTTCAGCCAATTCCATCAGCTGCTGAATACAAAGATTCTGTTGTTGCTTGTTGGGATTGATGTGAGATGGAAGCCAAGGGGGTCGCTGCAGTGAGGATGAGGAATGGTGAGGTCCCCATTTATGACTTTCCAGATAAGCTGAGGTTTAATGATGAGAAAGCCGTGGATTTTGCCTTGTCATTATTGGTGACACATGCAAAATGTCAATGAGTGAATCTGTAGCAATAGATACTGCAAACCACTGCACCATCACCTACATCAGAAATATAATAATTGATTCTGTTGATACTGGTGTAGAGAAGAGAGCTGTGAGGTGCCTTAATGCTATTTGTTCCTATAAGAAAGCAAAAGGAGCCAGGGAGTGTTTCTACATCTCTGTTTGCTCTGGAATGAAAGAAACATAAACTGGCTCTAACAACATGCAGATGGTAATTATGGGTATAAGCACAGCTCTTTCAGTATGATGTTGAAGTTGTTTGTTGCTAACTCTTCAGAGGACCAACCACTATATGTGTATGTATAAGCAATATTATGCAAAAACCACAGGATGGATTACAACAGGATGTGGTGCAAGTCAGGAAAGAACCCATTCAATTTTGGTGCGTTTATGGATCAGGGGGCAGATCCAGGATTTTGTTTTCACTTTAACATTGTAGGTTTTTCAATATTTTTCTTGCATTCTCAGAGACAGAGTTATGCACTGTTATATGTAATAGGGCATTACAAGAAGAATATCCCTGTAACTAATGAATGGTGATCGAGCTACTGTACCATGAACGGCACTGGCCTCATCCTAACAATGTGGGGTTAAGTGTCTTTTCCAAGAGTACTGAAAAGATTCATTAACTTACCATGAAAATCCAATTCTCTTCCAGTCACATGATAATTAAAGTTAACTGAGCAGAGCACTGTTGTCAGTGAATGAATGGTAGTAGCAGAGCTTGTTTTCTACAAAGTAACGTTACTCTCTGTTGTGGAGTGAATGAAATTATTACATAGTTTTTACTCTAAAAATACATCATCATATGTACATTTCAATATGCAATACAAACAATATAACAATGTACTGAGCAAGTTCATTATGATAACAACAGTCTTTGAAGAGGATTATTGGTCCAACACTAATATCTACCATCTTCTACTCTGTGTGTCGTCTTGTGGTCATCGCCCTGACCAGACAGCCACTGACAATAATAGTCGGCCTGTGCACCAACAAGCCTGTGACTCAGTCTAAACTCTGAGGTGTTGAGAGGATCCGTTCGCTGACTCAGGGACCTGAGGGACGATCACAACAGGAGGAAGATCATGACACAATACAGATCGGTGCTCCCTGCAATTCAGACATTAATTACCTGTTTGTTCGGAGCTAATGATGGTGATACTAGAATCTGAAAGGAAACATGATACCACCAACAACTCTGAGCTTTTCTTTCTTGCTCTTTTATATTGGGAATAATAGCTGAATCTGATTTGCTCTTTGATTACGAACATGATCTGCAGTTTGTGCCCACATGCTTGTTTCAGGTTTAAGTTCTGGTTTGAATTCCAATTTACACTGTTATAGTTTTTGGAACAATTATTTACTTTTACATAAGACTATTAACCTACCAGTCTGAACCAAAGCTGGGGACCCCCAAAAGTTAGAGATCATACATATTTCATGTGAATAATTAGGCCAGCAGCCAAATACAATTTTTACAGTCACCCATGTGGGAGACATCAAGGGAGATGTTTCCAGTAATGGGTGTTGAAGGAACAAAAGTCATGGGACTGTTGTGCCATCGATCAGACTGTCTCCAAACAGATAAAAAAAAGCACATTTAGTAACTAGAATGACTTTTAGTAGAGCTTTAACTTCTTACCACTGCCAAGGCCCAACATTCCCCTTAAATTCAGTCAAGCTGCATCAAACTGCACATTCTCATCAATATGGCTTTTATTCACCATCCATGAATTATTCCCTGAGCAAACTCTGTGCAGCTACTGTTAATGAGCTAAGAACACCTTCTCTTAAAAATATGTTAGCTGTGTTATTCTTGAAAATTCCTCCGCTTTTGACCAGTATACAAGAAACATACCAGAATCTGAGAGGTTATATAATTTCACTGAGGTCATATGAAGCGTTAAGCACATTGTGTGTGTGTGTGTGTGTGTGTGTGTGTGTGTGTGAGTGTGTGTAAAGGAAGGGGGGCTGTAACATTTCTCTACATCTCTGCCAAACATGGATTCCCTTGGTATCTCTACACGTTCATGCATATTTAACACACACACACATTTCCTTGACTGTGAATTCCTGGATCAGGCTGCCAAACTAAACTCCCGCCTGCCTGTGTTGGATCATCCGTTTTATTTTTCTGTCTGCTCTGCTGTGCTAAAGCTTAGGCAGTCATTATCTTTTTTTTAACCATCAAGTAGCATTGAAGTCAACTTGTTTGCCAAAATCATCCAGACGTAGCTTACACAGATTGTTTCATTCACAGCCACTTGCACATTTGGCACTTGGCCAATATTTACTTGCTGTGTTTAGCTTGATAAAATAAAGACTGCACAGTTTTTTTTAAGAAGATGGACACATGGACTTTGTGTGGAGTAAATGGATAATGCAGCAAAAGATGGTAAAGTGATGTTGATGGATGAGTTATTCTGTTGGAGCGGTGCCACAATAATTGTATGAATGGCTAATCCACCTCCATATGTTTTGATGGATGACGGACTTTTACTTCTCAGTTGACTCACTCTCCACAGGAATCTTCAATCCGGCTGGACTTATCAAGCGTGAAAACCCCATTTGAAAGGCAGGCTGAGGAGGACAGAAGAAAACAAGAAGGTCCTTTCTCTTTTTCCTGCTTGGAAAGCCCATTATTCCTCAAGCTCCCCTCTGTCTGAAAAGCAACCCCCCCTCATTCCTCTCTCTCTACCTTCCTTTGCTTTTTTTTCTTCAAGTCTCCGCCTAACCTCCCCACAAACCCACACTGTGACCAACTAACACTGGTTTTTCTTTTTACTATGACACCACCTCCATTCTCTCACTGGCTCCCTTATTTCCTTCATCCCCGTCACCACTCCCTCCTCTCCTTTCTCCTCCCCTCCCCTCTGTCTCTGCTCTCTCTCTCCTCAGTGCTGGTTGCTCACACCAGCCAGCTCACAGCCAAAGAGCTCCTCTGTCCCTCGTACACGCACCGCGCTTTAAACCAGAGCTTTCCCGTGAAAAAAGAGAAAAACAAACTATATTTAGGCCACTACTGAGACCTCACTCCAAAGGAAGTTATTGCTCAAGTCTAAAAGGTACAGAAACAACTTCTATTTAAGTATTTTAACATTTTATATCTCTACAAATGCATTTTACCATTTGACCGGTGACCATATGTGTTTGTGTGTGTGTGAGAGTGTGGATCTGTGTAATCCAGTATGTACACGTGTAGTAAGTTAGAGTTTATGTTTGCATGCTTTCAACGTTGCATCACAAGTGTTTATCATTCACAGAGCACATTTCAAAAGTTTCAAACAATCTCTGTTTTTTATTGTAGTTTTGGAGAATTTTTGTTACTGTAGATTTTCTACATTTGAATCTGTTTAGTAAGATATTTATAAATGAATCCACTTTGTATGTTCTGTATATTGTATACAGATTTTTTAGTGTTGAAGAGCAGCTAGAAACTTTCTGAAAATACAAAGATCAGAGCAGTGCATGGTCTGATGGTTTTTAATATTCTGATATTGAAACTGTCTTCCTTCCTTCTCAATCAGGGAGCTTGTAAGCTTTGACCCAAAGGAGAAGTGTGACAGAGAGAAAGAAGTTCTGTGGGGTTCACGTTCCTGCAGCAGCTATGACTCAGAGCAATGGGGAGAACCCGCAGAGGACCCGGAGCGGTCTCCATCGGATCCGGGATGGGATCGAGTCCCGGTCTCTGGTGGCCAGGAAGAGAGTGGAGAACATAACAAAGGATGATGTGAAGGGGTTCTTCATCAGAAATGCCTTTGTGATATTAACTGTTGCAGCTGTCATTATTGGTAAGTGACATATTTTGGGGGGAGAGTTGCTATCGTTGTACACACTGTTTGCACACTGGTAAAGTTAAGTGAGTTTAGCTGACTTAAAACTGAAGGTTACAGGAAGAAACTTTGTTCCTCTCCATCAATCACCATGCCTCCCCTCCACTATTCAAAGCTTTGCTCGAATGATCCATCAATCTAGTGTGACCAGCACCCCTGTAGCCGGACGGAAGAAGGAGAAGAATAGAAACAAAATCCCCAGATGAGAGAACAGAGGAAACCCAGATGAACTTAAGATACTGGCCCAAATCTGACCCTGTAGCGGACCTTTGCCCTGTGGCAATTAACCTCTGAGGCTTACTCAGTGGGAAGCAAGCCTGGCCCACACACCGCCTGCACATCTGCAGCCCTGCTAGAGTTACACCATGCCACAGCAAACTCATTTGATTGATTGTTTAATTCAGAGTACTCTTCACTTCAAGCTGTTGGAGCAGCCACCTGGACCTGGTGGTGGTTTAGGGCTGACAGAAGTGAAACTGAAAGAAAGAACGTCTTCAAAGGAAAAGTTTTCCATTCTCAGGAAGTTTCACTATAATTCACATCTTAGGAATCATGACTCAGGTGGCATGCTGTTGGTTCCAACAAAACCAACAGCATGCAAGTTAAATACCTGGGACACCCAGCAGTCAGTTAGAACTGGATGAGAAGTGAAACGTCTTCAAGAATCTCAACCAAGTCCAGTTGAACTGTTTTTAGCACTTGGACATACCATGAACTGGATGACTGAGAATCTCCACAGACAAACATTTTCAAATGATTTCAAGAGAGCTAATTTAAAACTTAAGTTTTAACTAAGCTCTAATCGCTTGAAATGATTTAACAAAGTTTTGACTCTTTCTCTGTATCTGATCCTCTCTTCAGGTATTATCCTCGGATTTGCTCTGCGGCCTTATAACATGACTCACCGCGAAGTCAAGTTCTTCTCTTTTCCTGGAGAGCTGCTGATGAGAATGCTTCAGATGCTGGTGCTGCCTCTGCTGGTTTCCAGTCTCATTACAGGTATGGACCCCAAACTCAACAGCTTTGTGTTCATTCATTGAGTTAATTCAACTCTAACTAATGTTCTTTTTAACTGTATTTTATCGGGAAAAAAGCTTTTTTACAAAAATATGTCCATCCCGATATGTTTCTCATGATATTGCATCAAATGAACCAATAGGGCTGACGATGCTGTAGACACCCAAGGCTTGTTCTCAGCACTCCCTAATGGGTGTAATATCAAGTACTCATTTTTCTTTTTTTCAGTTTCCCTTCAGATGTCTAAAATAAGCACATGTTTCAGATCCTCCCTGTGTGACATTGTTTTGTTCTAAATTTATATCAAACAACTCACTCATCACACACAACCGTCTACTGCATCTCCTGATATCACAAACCCCCTAAGAGTTTTTCTTGTGTTCAACACAAGATAGATTTGATAGCCTCTGCAGAAAAATCCCCCTAAAAGACAAAAACCCACCCACCCATTACCCCCTTCATACTGTATCTCCACCAGCCTCAAGTGAAGGTGTAGCACAGCATCAGTTTTCACATGTTGAAAAAGAGGGACTGTGTGTGCATGAGGGTGAAGTTACATATTTTATAAGTAAAGTGAGTGTACGCTGTGTGAACAGAACATATTAGCGACAGTGGTGTTTGTCGCTGACCAACGTGTACTTCATGAGTGGCAGACTGGGTTGTTTGTTCAGCCGATGCTGTTTGTTGATTTTGGGCTTAGCGTTGGATGGGGGTTAGGATAATGTCATAAGCGAGAGACACAGAGACAAACAGAAAGAGAGATATTTTTTGAATTTACAGCGTTGGTCTCAATCACATGCTTTGGCCTTGTAGTATTTGTCTTCATCTTGACACCAGGAGCGACGCAGTCCAAACTTTAATGTGTTTCAATTGGATAAATGGTTTGGAATTTGTGGTCTGGATTGCTTTAAAGTTCCAGGACATGTTGTGGCCACCTATCTGGGCCTGTGCTTCAGGAAAACACATATGACTGGTTTTCAGTTCTAATCCAGGGGTGTAGAGCGTTCATTTGTCACCCTTTACACAATTCTTCGACCCAGTCAGATGCGTAGGGATGATTTTATCCAGAGGCAAAGGCCTATGTGGGTTTGTTACTGAGAAGAGCCAAATTATGTTTTGGAACCCGAGTGTCCAAAAACAGTGATCAGCAGCAGTGACTGATGAGTGCGACCGGAACGTACTGAGAGCAGATGTGGTGTCGCTGAGCAGTGATTGACAGGGCAGGAGGCCAATCTCCTGAGGGGATGACAGAGACTCATTGTCCGATAATAACCTACTCTGTGCTGTGGCAGGGCGTAACATCAGCTTCCTCTGACATCATGTCACATGACCCCAGCTACAACATGTGGTAATCAACAAAGAGGTTTTGTAACCAAGTCATCCAGCTCCTCTCTCTCCCTCAAGTGTGTAAGTGTGTGTGTGTGTGTGTGTGTAAGCCTTGTCAATATATATCATCAGATGCAAAGTTGCCTGCTAGAAAGCTGTCATTCTACCAGATAAGGTCAACTACTGTATTACAGATAACCTACATGTCATTTCAATTTAAGCTGCCACTTCAAAGTTTTGTTTCATCCACCCTCCAGAAAGAGACTTGAATCGAAGTATTTAAGTGGAAATCATGTATTTAATCATTTATTCATTTTTATTATGAACCAGTAATTTGGTTGTGCAGTTTGAGTGGGAAAATCTCTCATCACAATAGTGTTAAGGCCAATGTGTAACATGACAATATTGTTGACACCTGCATCACAACTGCAGACATCTAGATCATGAAAGTTTTGACGTATAGGATATTAAAAATCAGCATTTCTGCTGAAACTGTATTACCTCACATTAAAAGTAATAAAAGAGACTTGAGGTGACTTCAGAATAAAGAGTGATCAACACCTTCTCCTGCTTGAGTCTTTTGACAGACGCTGTGTGTTTATCGAAGTTTCTATCCCTATAGCAAAAATGCCTGGATTCAGTAAGAGCGACAACTTGTTTACATGCATGGACTCTGAGCTTTTAGAGGATGTAAGCTCATATGACTTCTTTTCTGCAAACATGTGGGCCCTGGACTGTCACACTCCACAGAGTGATTTGTGCCACTTTGTGAAATGGCCTGTCCCAGTTCAAAGAAACTTTAAGTCTAAACGTTTGGATGAATTGGGAATCAATAAGTCTGAGAACATGCAGAGGAAAGCCTGGAAGGTATAGGCCTTGAAGAAAACATAGTCCTGTGGACAGATAGACAAGGAGAAGAAGGATTCAGGATTATAAGGATTGGTCTTGAGATTAACTGCAGGGTCCCCATTGATCTTCCCCATCCATAACCACATCTGTTTTACATGTGCTCACTCTCATATCCACTTCAAACCAAATTTATAATTTATGCCTTCAAATAATCCACATTGTCTCAAGAAATGTCATTATAAGAGCAGAGTGTCCATGAGTATTTATAGAGCCAAGAAGGGGCTGGACAGGAAGAGGGGATGAGGGTAGTAAAAGAGGAAAAGGAGGATGATTACAGAGGAGGTCGTTGGAATGGGACTTGAATGTAGGGGTGGGAGGGAGCTGAGGGAAAGACCAGGACGAAGAGTAACAACAACAAAAAAACATGGTATGATCACAACAGTGTTATAAATAACTGGATATACACATGTGAGTTTGTGAGTTTGTTCAATGATGGAAGTAATGTAAAATAGGAATAAAACAATTTAGAAGTCAAACAGATGTCAAACCATAAAAGTGTTATTAGTGTCATAAAGTAAAAGTTATTTTGTGATTTTAAATGACTGCATTAGATCATCCAGGTGGTACTAGTATTATACTTTGGTTGAAATTATGATTTTGATATATGGTAAATATATAAGTAAAACCTTCTTTAAAAATATGCGTATCTAATTCATTTTCCGAAATCTTAAACATCTTAGATATAACATAACATCTTGAGCAGTGTGAAATAGTCTCTTTAATTTAGGGGAATGAAAGTAAAAAGAGAGGATATAAAAATAGGGTGTTTCAAAACTGGACTCATAAACCATTGGTATGTCTTTTAGGACGACTTTCTTTCTTTTGTTAAAATGAGAAAATGTGCATATAAATCTGGTTTTCAGTGAAATTACAGTTTTAATTTATATTTAAATTCATGTGCTTTCAAACAAGACTTTTTTTCCAGAATTATCATTGTCTACATCTGTGGGCCCTTCTTGCAGCAGTGCTCAGATAATTTTGGTTATTTCCTGACCCTTAAACTTGCTTATTGCATCTCTGTGGTATTTCGGTGCCAAGCACACAGTGCACGGTGCACAGGAGGGAGGAGAATCCCAAAGTGAGGGAGGCCGAGCAAAGGGAGTTGTTGAGGGGGCTGCTACTGGCAATCATTTTCAATTCTGAGTTTTTCTTGATAAATCTATTAGTTGTTTGTCAAGAAAAAAATTGACAAAAAATATTTCCAAAAAGGCAGATTACAATATGTAGACCCTAAAATGAGATGGGGGTTGCTTTATTTGTCGAAACACAACCATAACTACAAGACAAAAAAAAGCAGCAAATCAGCTAGTTTTAGAGGCTAAGCGGATTTAAAAACGTATTAATTCTCTGCAAAATCTTTCAAACTCCATTAACTGATATGTGAAGGTATTTTCTGGCCCTCAGATAAAGTCTTAGCTTTTAGACTAGAAGTCTGGAGTCGATCTCTGCCCAGTGTCAGTGGATGTTAATTGCTCTGGGGACCGACCTCTCGCAGTTGCCACAATGTCCTGCGCTTCAACTCCCCCCTAAAGTAGGCTTGTACTTTTGTGTTTGATGAACATTCCCCCATATGAGAAAGAAAGTCATTCTCCTTGCTCCCCTCAGTCTTGGTCCTTTCGTTCTTTTCAAAGGATGAAATTGGTGCGGCTGCGTCCACTGTTGCCTGGACAACAGGTGGCGATCATTGTGTATGTGTGTGTGCATTTGTGTGTGCGGGGCTGACAAAGTCAACAAGTTTTCCCAGGGCTGTCAGAAAGAAAGGGAATAAGAGGAGAGCAGAAGAAAGGGGGGTGGGAGGAAAGGAGGAGGCAATGAAAGAGGATTGCAGCAATATAAGATCAGCGTGCAGGAAAAAAAAGGAGTGGAGGGAGGGAAGATGTGGGGGCGGGAGAGGAGGAAGAGCAGTGGGTGGGTGGGGTATTTTGGGGGGCACCCTGAAACAAGAGGTAGTAGAGAGGAGAGGTGAAGAATTCTGGGGAGGACGATGAGGGAGGGAGGGATGAGGAGGGGAGGAAGAGGATCAGAAAGAATGGTGTATGAAAGCCCAAGTCCTGGGCATGTTGATACAAGAGGAATAGAGAAAGAAGGCCAAAGCAGGGCCACTAGGTACAAAGTGCCACATGTGAAAAGAACACATAGATCTCCGGTCGCACAAAGCCCTGCTTTGCCTTGTACAGCTCTGAATGAAGAAAACAGCCATAATAGGACCTGACACTGTGAAAATGCAATGCCACAGTCACGATTGTCACCACTGAGGCAGCTTCTCTGTTTTCCAAATCCAGCTCTCTGAATGGCTGCATTTCTCTTTTACCACCATTATCCCTGCAAAGTCTGTTTAATGCTATCAGAGCTGCGGAGGACAGTTTCACCCGCAGGCTCTGATGAGCTCTGACTGCCACAAACATCTCTCTGGTTTGCATAAATCTTTGTAGTCAGTGGTTTATCAGCTTTTGCATGAGGACCAACTATGTCCGATTAAATTTCTCATCCAGGACCTAACTAAATTGTGGCCTGTTAAATCCAACAAACCACATATTTTAGCTTGTGTGCTGAAATGCAGAAATTACCAGACACAAACCAAAACAGGCTTTTTATGTGTAATTTGATCAGGAACATATTTGCTGCTTCACATTTGTTTCTGTATAAAACAATAAAACAATCTGTGCTGTATTTTCTCTGCTATGGACTTGACTTGATATCCCTCACAGTTTGTACAGTATTTCCTCAGAACACAGATACATTTTTGTTGTGTCCTTCTCCCTGTGACACAGATAATCAGCTGAGGTCAGACTGTTGATCTGTAACTGACACCTCTGCCTGGTTTCTGTGTCCACAACAAACTAATGTATGTTTCTGTTGTATGATCAAATAGAAAAGACAGATGAATTGGAGGATGAAGAAGTACATAACCATTATTGGCTTTCAAAGAGTCTTTCCCTGCAGCTATAATTTAAAATGTATTATCTGTACAAATATGAATGTAAAATATATAAACAGATATTGTACATTAGATATGCGGCTGGATGTTGCACAGAAGGTGTTGCTTTTCTGCCGGTAAAGGTCAGAGTCAGATTATGTTTCTTGCCGCTCATTGTTGTCACAGATACCTCATCAGATAATCCAGATGGATGTGCTCCACTGATAATTACAGCAGCTTTTTCTCAGGATAACTGTATTCCCACAGGGACAGATGTTGGTGAAAACAAGGAAAATCTGTATTTGAGCAGTATTTCTGATTATTTTCATCTATTATGATTTTTTACTATATTTATTTAGGGTTAGGGTTGGGGTCAAATCACAGCACTCCGAATGAGTGCTTCAACAGTCACCTTAAAAGTCCCTCATTAAAGCTATAATTAATTGTTTAAAATCCCACCATAAAAGAAATGAATAAAGAAATAAGTCAATAAAATAATAATATTGGGGAACGTTTAAAAGACAACAGGCTCAGATGAGGCAGCAGGAGTTAAAGTTCTTGTAAAAACAATCTGCAGACCTCCAAGGCCTCTTGGGGGAAACTAAATACATAAAAATACATCATAAATAAAATTCCTCATAAAAGGATTTGTTGACAGTTTCTAATGCGATTCATGATAAGCTGATTCAAGTCATATACATATAAGCTGCTCATATGTAGCTGCTGCCTCTATAGTAACCACGTGGAGGATAAAGATGAAAGTTGATGCCTCTGATGATTTTAGTAAGAGTGCACCTGGATAAATGCTTACGTATTGATTTACATGTATTATCATGGTTTGTCCTTTTTTTAGGTATGGCAGCTCTGGACAGCCGTGCTTCAGGTAAAATGGGCATGAGGGCGGTGGTCTACTACACCACCACCACTGTCATTGCTGTGTTCATTGGTATCGTCATGGTGCTCATCATCCACCCTGGAAAAGGATCCAAGGATGAGTTCACCAAGCAGCAGAAGATAGAGCAGATCAGCCCGGCCGATGCCTTCCTGGATCTTATCAGGTGAAACATGCTCACATAAGTATCTCAGTGATTCTGTTCTCAAAAACAGTATTACCTAGTTTATTGTCACTTTTGGTATTGATCGCTCACATGGGAGAAGGAAATTTAAGATCTGTTACATTTGAAGAAGTACATGTTCTAAAAAAGGCAGCAGAATGCTGTACAAGTGATTTCTTAATCCCAACCTCTTGGTTTTTCAGGAACATGTTTCCTCCAAACATCGTGGAAGCTTGCACCAAACAGGTCAGTCTCTCTCCACCTCTATCTTCTCTCAGTCATTGTCCTGTCCTCTCTCTTTAGCATATCATCATCCATATTCAAGTGCTCATTTAGCATAATTTAAAGTCTCCGAATGCATACTTTCAATGTAATCTTTTTTCCTGATGTATTCATACTTCCTGTTAACTTTCAGCTTCCTTTATAGATCTCTATAACACTAAAAACATTTTTTATCATTAGAAGTTTAATTTGCAATGATATAAAAACACACAATTTCTGCAACTACATGTCAAAATCTGTGCTCATAGATTCACAATAAAGGTTGCAAACAGGGATGATCTAATCTTTCTGCCCATGCTTACAGCTGACACATCTGTATCTTTAACCATGGCCCCTGTCTCAGTGCCACTTTCACTTCCTCATCCCAGCACATTTTAAGCAGACAGAAGGTTTCCTGTGTTATTGTAAAAGTTTGTGTACCAGTTAGTAAAGGCAACATAGGAAAGTACAACAAAATATCTGTATTCTGAAATTCTCAATGTCAAATTTCTATCCACTTCACAGTAACCTTGATCCATTGATGCATTTTATTCTAAAGAATTGACACTTAACAAGTTGTCCTCGAATTAGACTCTAATGTTAGAGTATTGTTACACTTGAGTAAAAGCAATTATAAAATGCTATCGCCCCTGGGGTCAACTGCTGTTTAATCCAATGTGTAACTGTTTTAAAATCCAGTTCAAGACGCAGTATGCCAAGAGAGTGGTCCATGTGAAGATGACAGTGAACGACACTTTATTCACACTCAACGGCAGCCAGCAGATCACCCGGGAGGAGATGGTCCCAGTGCCGGGGTCGGTAAACGGAATCAACGCCCTCGGCCTGGTGGTGTTCTCCATGTGCTTCGGTCTGATAATCAGCAGCATGAAGGAACAGGGACAGCCCCTCAAGGACTTCTTTGACTGTCTCAACGAAGCCATCATGAGGCTGGTTGCCATAATCATGTGGTAAGTGCATGGATGGATGAATGAACAGAGGAACTGTTGAATGAATCACTGATGAATAACTACCTCATCAATCCTCAGGTATGCCCCCATCGGTATCTTGTTCCTGATTGCCGGTAAGATTGTGGAGATGGATGACATTTCAACTATGGGTGGCCAGCTGGGGATGTACACAGTGACGGTCATCTGTGGACTGCTCATCCACGCCATCTTGGTCCTGCCAACGCTCTACTTCGTCATCACCAGGAAAAACCCCTTCGTTTTCATCGCAGGGCTGTTGCAGGCGCTCATCACTGCCCTGGGAACATCCTCAAGGTACGTGACAGGATCAAAGGTCACACAGTTTAAGTCCAACTCAAAACTGGGCCAAAGAAGTTATTGTCATTCTGTCTTACTTTGTACTGTTCACTATCTCTATCCTAATTATTTTGTTGTTTTTGCTGTTTTTAATATTTATTTCAATAGTGTACCATTTAATTGGTTTAATCACTTTTTGATTATGTTAAAGTTGCTATAGAAATAAGCTAGCTTACTGTTCATGTCTCGGTAATGTTTCGTTTTCATCAAATTTGGAATAAAATAACATAATTCTTTCAAATTTCAAACCGTTCATGTTTGGTTAACAGTGAATGGTATCAGACATCTGTAGTCTACCTACCTACTCTGATGCCCCTGATGACCAGGGGCGATAAGCATGATTTATATATTGTTTACCCCAATTTATTGGTCAGTGTTCAAGCCACACCAAATCACTCACACTTGTTCATAGGGTTCAGTTGACTAAATATGCCAGATTTTTTTAATCAAAGATCCAAGAATTATTCCCTGGGAAAATGGAGAAAATCACATTTCAAATTCCTGGATCCTCCCCCTGCACCATCATTTTTTGGGTTCCTCCCTTACCCAAACCACATCCATCCACCAAATTTTGCTGTAATCCGTTCAGTAGTTTTTTAATATTCTTGTTTACAGACAAACCGACGGGTGAAAACATAATCTCCCTGGTGGAGGTAACAATTCAGCCACTCACTGTAGTTTACAAATGAACAGGTTAAATAAATCATCCTCACTCTCACACTTGCTCTGTCTGTCCACTTCCTCCCTGTGTCCTCTCACAGTTCAGCCACTCTGCCCATCACCTTTAAATGCCTGGAGGAAAACAACAAAGTGGACAAGCGTGTGACTCGTTTCGTGCTCCCTGTCGGTGCTACAATAAACATGGATGGCACAGCTCTTTATGAAGCCCTGGCTGCCATCTTCATTGCCCAGGTCAACGACTATGACCTGAACTTTGGACAGATTCTCACCATCAGGTATGAAACTTGTTTAGTATTTAGTATTTTAGTCAGTGAATCTTGCCAACTCAGAGTTTTGGGATGAACATGAGAATGTTGCTATTACAAGCCTTTCATTATGGCTTGGAACACAATTTAAACCAAGCAAAGCCTCAGAACCACAGTTCCCAGCTTAATAAATGGTTTTCTAACCAACAGTCTGTCAGTCTATTTGCCAGTGGGATAGATGAGGAATGGTATTTCAATCTGAATTTATGTGACCGTCTTCAATGCAGCAACCAACAAAATAATCAATTGGTAAAACTAAGGACATGTCAGTATTTTCTTTCTGATTCCACTGTAATGACAATTTCAACAATGACAACATAATAAAAATGAAATACTATCAAACCTCCTTTCATGCATTTTTCCCCATCAGCATCACTGCCACGGCAGCCAGTATTGGAGCAGCTGGAATTCCGCAGGCAGGACTGGTTACTATGATCATAGTGCTTACATCGGTAGGCCTGCCCACTGATGACATCTCGCTCATCATTGCCGTTGATTGGTTCCTGTAAGTATTGGGTATATCACATATTTGAGAACCTCACTTTAAAATGATAAAAATCGAAATAAAGATAAATCGTATTTCTGCGCAATTTGATCCGTAACACCTTGAATAAACTGTAAAAAGTGGATTTATCGACAACAATGATGGGGGTTAAACTACTGAGAAAATCAAATACAGTGGCGTATAAGTTCAATTACGTTCCACTCAATGGTATGTTAAGGGGTTAATGGATGAAATTGGTGTCATGTACACTCTTGAGTGGATTAGGGGACAGCTTCCAGAGACACTCCCCTCACATTCCATGTCCCTCAACCCATCTGGTTTTTATTCAGTCAGCGTCCAATCCCAGTGCAAAGCCCCACTTCCTCCTATCCACTGGTGTGGTGTGGATGGCCTGCAGCACTAAGGGCCTCCAGTGTTGTGACCATGTTTCACATACACAGATATTTACAAACGCGCCACATGGATTTAATCCACAAAATCACCAATAATATAGAATATTTATTGATGTTCATTTGCACCCTCTCATTTTATTTTGTTTTCATTTGTCTTTTTTGTTCATCCTCACTTGTCTTGTTGTCTCTTGCTTTTGTCCTGTTTTTTTTTTGTCTCACTACCACTTCTTATTATCCATTATTTTGTCCTGTTTTGTCCAATTGTCCATTGTTTTGTCTTCTCTTGTCTCTTGTTTTGCCTGCTCTTGTCTCTTGTTTTGTCTTCTCTTGTCTTTTGTTGTGTCTTCTCTTGTCCCATGTTGTGTCTTCTCTTGTCTCATGTTTTGTCTCCTCTTGTTTTATTTCGTCCTCTCTTGTTTCGTAGTGTAATCGCTGGTTTTATCTTGTCTTGTTTCATTTTCTCGTCTCTTGTTTCACCTTGCTTTTTAATATTTTGTCTTCTCTCGTTTCCCCTTGTATTTTTATTTCATCTTCTATTGTTTCATCTTATCATACATTGTCTTTTCTTCTCTTGTCAATGTTCTCCTCCCGTCTCACCTGTTCCCCGTCTTTCCTCAGGGACCGATTGCGCACCACCACCAACGTCCTCGGGGATTCGATTGGTGCGGGCATAGTGGAACACCTGTCTCGCCACGAGCTACAGGACAACGACCCCGAGGTGGGAAACTCGGTGGTGGAGGAGGCCGACAAGAAGCCGTACAAGCTCATATGCCAGGAGAACGAGTACGAGAACGAGAGGCCTGCTGACAGCGAGACCAAGATGTAGGGGCGAGCTTTTCATCCCGGGCTAAATACTTTCTTATGAAAACCATTCCCCTCAACTAATCTCTTCTTGATTAGCAAACCTTCCTCTCACATGATCGGAGGGTTCAAATTAAATCGATGTACAGCTAGAATATATTTCAGCCAAGTAAGTTCCACTAACGTGTGTGTGGGGGGG